GATGTCAGTTTACTATCACCTTCATTAACATTTCACCAAGTAGCTAGCAGTCACGCTGCTTCTACTACTAACCAAACATCTTTCATGTAATGGCTAGCGACCGCAGTCGCTCAACAGTATACCGCAGTATACACACAGTTGCAACCTGTTCATTACTAACTCAATAACTACGTTAACTTCACGTGGCCGCAGTCGCATAACAGTATACTGCAGTATACACAGTCTCCTCCATTTCATTACTAACTTCACGTGCAGCCCTTGCTCTAATATCTGCACTGTTATTTCATTGGTAGTTGCCCTACACTTAAGTGGGCTTTTCTTTCCGTTTTGGGGGCTTGCTCTGGGACCACCTAGATAAGCATTCGCATGCTGTTTTCGTATCTTTTGCATGGGTGGTTTTGGGGTGAGTCCCCCTTATGCCAAATAAATAGTTTTTTGAATCTTACTCAAGAATCTTGTGTCATAAATATTATTATAGTCATTGATAACTCAATTTTGTTTCCAATCTTTCTCAAATTTTATGACAGCTGAATAACATGATTTACCTTTCCCAACAGTTTCTGTAAAAATATTTGTATATTCTGAAAAGGGGGAAAATTTTGTTGGATATGCTTGTTTTTGTTTTAGCTTCGCTGTTGACTTTGTCGAGCAGAGCTTATCGTACAAGTGATTGTTCGTCGTCGTCCGTGTCAATGTTTTACTTTTTCGACTTCTTCTTGAAAACTATAAGCCTGAATGCTTTTGTACTTGGTGTATATGTACCTTGGGCAGACCTCTCTTAGGTTTGTTCATTTCATGATGATATCTTCAATCCTCTGATTTTGGTGAATATTTTTGTCATTTTTGGTAAAAAATGATATTTTTGACTTCTTGTTAAAAACCGCAAGTCCAATTGCTTTGATATTACATATATAGGTACTACATGTTGACCTCTCTCAGATTTGTTCATTTTGTAATGATATCTTCAATTCTCTAATATTTTCGACTTCTTGTTAAAAACCACAATCATTTATGGTGAAAAATGATATTCCCATTGCATTGATACTATGCATATTGTTCATTTTCTAATGTTATCTTCTGTTCTTTAATTGAAATGTGCATTGCTAACAGCAAAGCTATCTCAGCCGAGAGGCTGCTTGTTTAAATTCACAGTATTTTGACAAAAATAAAACTTTCAGTGATTATATCTGAAATATTTACTGCAATTTAATTTATTGCATTAAGTTGTCAATGAAAATAACAAAAATAAAATCTTGTGAAATATTATCTGTTTTACTGTATCATTTCTTGCATTACAGGATGCGTAAACGAGATCCAGGTAGTGCTCCTAATCTAGGTGACAGGGTACCGTATGTTATAATAGCTGGTGCCAAGAAAGCTGCAGCTTATACAAAATCTGAGGTAAGTGTGCCTACATAAAATAGCAATTGGCACAAACTATGAAAGCTGATTATATTTAATTATACAAGGCATTCTTATTAGAAGTGATCAGGATGGACAATGTCGTCTGACTTTTTGACAGCAGAAGTTCCTTACAACCCAGATTATTAGTTCACAATTAGATGAATTTTGAAAACAGACTTAAGGATTCACCTCCAACTGTGGTTCCCTGCAATCCCATCTCTATCTTGGACTTGCCTGTGCTGATCACATACATCATGGGGAGACATATGCAGATCCTTCATTTTGACGGTCAACTTCAAGATGGCAGGATGGTGACCATATTTTATGTTTAAAATTCATCAAAATCAAGCAATTCTGCTATTGTAGAACCAGATCTCTGTCAGATATTGAAGGATTTTATTCAAACTTGGTCAATATATTGGACATAATGAGACTTTTATGTACATCATTTTGTTTTTTTAGATCAGATTTAATATGGCCGACTAACAGTCATTTTGTTGTAATGAATGCTGTTACAAATTCGTATTTCTGACATGTTTTGACTGATGGTCAGATTTAAGATGGCCGAATGGTGGACATTTAAATGTTAAAAAAATCATGGATCTCTGTCAAACATGGACAGCTATTTTTCAAACTTACATACATTGAATATAATGGAAACCATGATGCTTTTCAGATTGAATTAAAAATGACCAAATTGTGTATCTCTGGCAATGTCTCTGACATGCCTTGACTGATTGAAATAAAAAATACAACTACATTTTACATGTTTACCCGACTTGCATTTGTTTCACGTTCTGATACAAAATGAGTGAATGAGCATAATGTACCAATAGACATGCAATATTATCCATTGTTGTTTACAGGATCCTGGCTTTGTACTAGAGAATAATTTACCAATAAAAACACAATATTATCCATTGTTGTTTACAGGATCCTATCTTTGTACTAGAGAATAATTTACCAATAGAAACACAATATTATCCATTGTTGTTTACAGGATCCTATCTTTGTACTAGAGAATAATTTACCAATAGAAACACAATATTATCCATTGTTGTTTACAGGATCCTATCTTTGTACTAGAGAATAATTTACCAATAGAAACACAATATTATCCATTGTTGTTTACAGGATCCTATCTTTGTACTAGAGAATAATGTACCAATAGAAACACAATATTATCCATTGTTGTTTACAGGATCCTGGCTTTGTACTAGAAAATAATTTACCAATAAAAACACAATATTATCCATTGTTGTTTACAGGATCCTGGCTTTGTACTAGAGAATAATTTACCAATAAAAACACAATATTATCCATTGTTGTTTACAGGATCCTATCTTTGTACTAGAGAATAACGTACCGATAGACACACAATATTATCTGGAAAACCAGTTAAGCAAACCTCTTCTTAGAATATTTGAACCAATCCTTGGCGAAAATAAAGCTGAATCGGTTCTACTGAGTGAGTATCACCTATCACTTTTAGGACTGTAACTGCTGTTTGAATCTATGATAACAATGCACAAAACGTTTATAATCTATGATAACCATGCACAAAACGTTTATAATCTATGATAACCATGCACAAAAA